AGATGGTGTCTGAGTTGGTCCTTGAGAGGTGAACCCTGAGGAAGTGGACAAGCGTTCCATGTCTGTCCGGTTAGCTAACGGTATCTAGCTTGTTTCATAAAACTTAGTGGAAGTTAATTGGACAGTTGTTCTCTTGCGTGGTCACGGTTCTTTATTGCATACAAAGCAATTAGGTTTTTAGAGTTGAATTTTTGAATTATAAACAACCACCACCACCACAAGATAAAAACCTTAACAATGGAACTCAAAAGTTGCCTGATGTTACCTTTAATCCCTTTTCAGGGAAATGAGGAAATGACCCAAAAGGGGGCAATATTTTTTGTTGTTTAGAAATACCTGTTTTGAAATGGGCTGAATAGAAACAATGGCGGGATCTTTTTGTGTGTGTTCCCGTGTGTGTGTGTGTGTGTGTGTGTGTGTGTGTGTGTGTGTGTATGCTTATAGAAACAAAAACAAGACTCAACACTTGATTTCAAAATGTCCTTTTCAAAATGTCACAAGTGTAAAGTGTCAAGGCTTGGCCATGTTCAGTGGCGGTGAGGTGCTCAGACTGCTAGATGCTAGCCATGAACTTCTAAATTCTCGCACAGGACAGTTCAGGGCAGAGACACCTGCCAGACAGCACCCTGGTTTACTGTTCTTGGAGGCTCTGAAATGGCAGAACTAGAGCAGGGAGGGAAGGAATCCAAAATGCTCAAACCAGAAGGGACATTTGGCACAAAGCATTGGTAATGACCAGTCTATATATAGAGTTTGGTGGGTTTCCTTCCTGAAGGGCTCAGCACAGTAAATAAAGTAAAACCAATAATTATCAATGGCCAACTGAGCTATGTCCTTAACGAAAGTACTCACATGGGCATAAATCATAGGGTCTAAGCCAACAGACTGGAGAGGAATCTATCAGCTGTTTTCCTAAGGATTAGGGGAAAAAAACTGTTGCCTAGTGATAGTTTTTAAAGCTTTAATTGAGGATCTGATGGATTTGTAAGAGCATCTTCTTTTCTTTCTTTTTTTTCAGTGCCAAAAACATGGGATCTTTTAAATAATTAAACATATTTATTGAGTATGTATATGTATATGAACTTTATAATATAAGCACAAATCTATTCATGTAACAAACATTTATTTCCATGTACCAAGCACAGGTCTTTTCCCCTAAATGAAGCATATTAAAAATCTTAGGTAGTGAGTAAGATTTTGACTTAATTCTAGGCTAACCAAAACCTTTTTTCCCCTTCATGTGTTTGTCTTCCTTGTGTAGATTTTTTGCTCAACTTAGTTGATGGTCAGTGTATAGAGTCAGTCGTACTACATATGTATATGGGTAGTGTGCCTATTTTTGAGGAGCTGTTTTAGGAAAAAAACCCAATTGCTCATTATTTACATGCATTTTGGGCTGTTCCTCTTCTGCATGAGTGTTGTATGTTGGTAGATGATGGTACATGTGATTACTTGGACAGAGAACATTTTCTTTGGTTCTTTTGTTTTTTAAATATTTTAAAATGTTTATTTAATTTTGAGAGAGAGCATGAGCAGGGGAGGGAGGGAGGGGGAGAGAGAGAGAGAGAGAGAGAGAGGGAGAGAGAGAGACGGAGGGAGACAGAGAATCCCAAGCAGGCTCTGCTGTCACTGCAGAGCTTGACATGGGGCTTGAGCTCACGAACCATGAGATCATGACTGAGCCAAAAGCAAGAGTCGGCCACTTAACCAACTGAGCCACCCAGGCACCCCTGGACAGAGAACAGTTTGAAAATGTCTCCTAATTAGAGCCTTGGACTACATGAGCAGGGAAGTGTGGAAGGAGATCAGAGACATGCTATTTATGGCGATACAATGTTAGTTTCAAAATGACGATGAATGTCTTCTGGCTCGATTTGTTAACTTAGTCTCTTGAAATTTGGTACTATCAGAATTAGAACCAGTTCTATGTTGAGCCCTCAGCTTTCAAGAGAAGACTCTTCTGTGGCAACACAGAACATTCAACAAACATTCGTTGAACACCCTTTACTTGGCTCACTGTTAGTGCCCAGAGTTACAGATACGAGTAATAGTGAGGTTGTTGACCTCAAGGGGCTCAGTCCAGTGGAGGAGTCTGAGAGGTGAGTGAATGTTATCTGCCAGTCTGATAAGTGCACCCACCTGATATGTGTGACAAGAGAGGCTTGGAAGCGGAACAAGGGAGGCATTCTGAAAGAGCTAACATCTGGGCTGGATTTTGACAGGAATAAGAGCTTCCAGTGATTTCTGCTGAGTTAATTTGCATGGTTTAAAGAATGGATGTTAATCCTCCCATTTTACCATCACCTAAAAAAAATTGATGGCTTTCTGAAGCTGAATATCCCCTTTAATAACTTCTGAAACTTGATCTTTTATTACCTAGATCTTAAAATTATCTGATTCTCAAACAATGGAGATGAAGAATGAGTTTCAGGGTTTAGGACACTTAGATCTTATGAAGGTGACATCGTGGCCAGTGATTATGGGACAGGGATTCTTTTTTTTTTTTCCCCCAATGTTTGTTTTTGAGAGAGGGAGGGAGAGAGAGAGAGACAGTGCAAGTGGGGGAGGGGCAGACACACACACACACACACACACACACACACACACACACACACACACACACACACACCCAAAGCAGGCTCCAGGCTCTGAGCTGTCAGCACAGAGCCCAACACGGGGCTGGAACTCATGCTGAAGTTGGGCGCTCAACCACTGAGCTACCTCGGCTCCCCAGAACAGGGATTCTTAACGAAGAAGTGTTGCTGAGTGAAACACGGTCTCAAAGGTGGTCCTATTAATTTAACAATAATTGCTTTATGTCTAATGTACTACTATCCCTACTGGCTAAAAAGTTTCTTAGTTTTGCCTCCTGTTTCTTGTTAAGAAGTAGGTTAGAAACTGATGTTAATGCTTTAGGTTATAAGAGACTTGAATAAGTAAATTAACGAACTACTTCCCCTAGTTTGACTTTCTTCTGATTAGAACACTAAGTGTGTATTTGTATTGCTGCTGGTTTTCTTGCATGTTTAGTGTGTATAAAAAGTTTCTATTGTTTGCTTCTAATTAAGAACTCAGGGTGCTCTACACACGTTGTCCATTGTTCTTTATGAAAATATTGCATTTAAAAATAATTGAGGTATGCGTTGGTAAATAGTTTCTTATAAACCAGACTTTTACAGAATATTAATACATAACAGATCATTTCCTTTAGAGGGTGGGAAAAAAATCTAAAACTTTCAACTGGAAGATGGGCTCACTAACAGCTGTTTCCTATAATAGAAGCAATTTGCATGCAGAATAGAGAAAATGAATTATACAAAAGGGTGTATAGAGGAGCAGCTATAACTTCTCTGACATGTGCGGCAGCCCACAGAATAAACTTCCTTCAAATGACATTGGCATGATTAATCCCAAGCAACCTGGACACTGAAAGTGCTGTTCTGAAAAGACTGCTTTGCCGTCTGGAAATGTCATGGATGTAATACGAGTCTTCTCCTTGGCATCGGGGGTGTGCTCAGTGCTTTTGGTGGCATACCCTCTCCCGAGGGTTCAGGATATTTGAATATTCATGACAGGTTGGCAGGTGGTTAGTAGATGCAGGACTGAAGCTACTCTGAGTTGTTGTGCATTTGCATTTTTTTTTTTTTTTTAAATCAGAGAAACTTGTAAGGTCAGGTGAGAGTCCTCACTCCTGATTTACTTCTGATGTCAGTTTGGGGAAATGTTCCTGAGGTGGGCTAAAGGAGACTTCCAAGTGTTCCAGTCCTATCTTCAGTGTACGTCTTCATAACCATATTTGTGCTTGGGGGAGGGTCTAACCAACTTTTATGTACATTATCATCATCGCCTAGAAGAAAAACGCCTTACACGTACGTTCCTACCCATGCTTACGGATAGGTAGATGGTCTTCTCTCTTTTAAAGGGAAAGGAAATGGAAACTGTCTAGAGAATTCTTAGTCCGGGTGCCATGGAGTTGCATCTTCTAAATCTAGGGGTCTCTCCTTGCTGCTTTCTTTCTGTTTTCATCTGAAAAGTTTCCATGCCAGTTGGCTATCTCATGGAGTAGATCACCTGCCTCACTTAAGTAACTTTTTGAGAACTTACACGTGCCAGGATCTGTGCTGTGTCTTTTATGTACATCATCCTGTTTAATCCTCCCAGTGTTTGGAAGAAAACCCAAGGTTCAGAGAAGTGGAGTAACTTTCTAGAGGCAGCCTGGTCAGTCTGAGTTGGATCCCAGATTGGCACCCAGGTGTGCCTATGCCCTTGACACTTGGCACTCTCTGTTCCTGGGGTAAAGGTTTCCGTCTTTGAGGACTGGAAGGAAATTACACATGATGTTCCAGAATACACTGTAGTACAACTCTGTGGGGTGTCCAACCTGTGATTCCAGCAATTAATGCTTTGGGAGGGTAAAAGGAGAAGAGAGGATAATACTTTGTGGTCTGGAAAGGTCACAGAATTTGTGATGACATTTGGATTTGAACTAAGAGAGGATCCTAATAGTGGTATCAAGGTGTGAGGGAAGGGATGAAAGGAGGACAGGGCACACTTGGGAAATGCTGGGCATATTTGCGGGGAATTGAAGGAAGCACAGGAGGATGGATGAGTGACAAAAGAGGAAGGCTGGAAAGGTAGGCTGGGGCCCTGCTGCGGGGGACTTGAGTTACCACACAGAGGACTGTGTCACCTTGATGTTCAGCATGTCTGTGATTACTTCTTTGTGACACTATCAAATACAGCCTCAACTAGAATACTTTCAGATGGCTTGTGACTGATTTTGATTTGCTTAATTGACATTCTAGTGGTATGAATCCTAGTTACCTTCTTTAGGGTGTCTCTCATTTCCCAAGAGCTTGCCTAAAATAGTCTTGCCTAATTCATTTTTGGGGGAAATCGAAGAGGGTGACATGATGGACACGAATAACATTGGGAGATTCTGGACTTGGAATTTTCTGAGGAGGGAGGGTATCCTGCCACTTGTTGGCATAGAAATCGGGATGTCTCCAAGAAGTGAGGGGTTTGAGGGTGGAGTGATTTACAGAAGAGATCTGACACAGACAGTACATTTGTCAGGGGACTTTCAAGCTTTAGATCGTAGGAGCTCTACCCAATCTCCCTAAAGCTTCAGGGCAGGGTGAGAACACCTGAAATCAAGTCATTAATGATCACGGTTGACTGTGGTAAAATGTCCCCCATCAAGATTTGAACAAATAGCTTACCATATTTGCTTTACCTAGGAAAATTCTTATAGATTCTGAAAAAGAAATAGAGATCAGAAAGGCAGATGGGGACTTGGGAAAGGGCTGTGAAAATTGGGCATGATCTAGACAGGAGAATGGGGTTTTCTTTCTTTTTCTTTCTTTTAGTTTTGTTTTTTCAGAAGAAAGAAGAATGTCTTTTTGCCTTTTATTCTCCTCTCACCTATTTTTTCTTTTTAATGTTGCAGTGTGCAAAGATCCACCTTACAAAGTAGAAGAATCTGGGTATGCTGGTTTCATTTTGCCAATTGAGGTTTATTTTAAAAACAAGGTATGTAATCTTTACCCATTAATCTTTCAGTAGAAGATCCGCCATTAGCCAAACAATGTTTAAAATAATTTTGATTCATAAATACGCCTATCACTAGATGATTTTAAAATAAAAGTTAAATTTGTCTTCTAGGAATTTTGGCTATTGTCACCCTTAATTATAGAGGAAGTGGCTAAAAAAGATAATTTCAGTTCTCTGAAGCCAGATTATATGAAATTCATTAAACTTTCTTTTTAAGAGAAGAATGATTACCACTTGAAAAAAGATTAATGTATGTTTGTAAAGCAGAAAAGACATTATGTTTTTTCAGTGAAATGCTCTTTTTCTCATTTGCGTATTTCTAGAATTTTAGACACTTGCAAACAAAAATCTCTCATGTATCCTTAGCTGCCACGCACACATGACATACGTATACAACTATATCAACTTGATGTGTTATGGATTCTACTGGATTTAAAAGTATATATGTAGCACAATACAGACTATATAAAATTGGATAAGTTGCTCAACCTCTGTAGGCTTCACTTTCCTTAATTATAAAAGGGATAGGATAAGAGTATCTATCTCATAAGGATTAGATACAATATGTGTGCACAGAACATTTAGAATAATGCTTCAGTATATACATAAGCACCTAGTAAATGCTAATGATTACCTTTCTCAGTAACCCCACTGAAATATTCACATGGTTTTTTTTTTTTTAATCAAAATCAGAATTTGTTGAGATGTATTTATGTCCACTTATGTGATATGGCTTTACATTGATGTATTGATTGTTTTTTCCCCTCATTTCTAGTTGGATTTCCTTTAAAAAGCTTTTAGCTTTCTTTTGTTTTATTAAAAAAATTGAGGTATAATTTATATACCATAAAATTAATTTTTAAAAAGCATACACTCGTTGGTTTTAGCGGGTTGTGCAATCATCACCACTATCAAATTCTATGACTTTCTTAGTATTTTCATCACCCCCTAAAGAAATTCTGTACTCACTGGCACTCACTCCTCATCCCCTTCACCCCCATCCCCTGGCCATGATTAATCGACTTCCTTTTTCTATATAATTTCCTATTCTGGCAGCTTATATAAATGGAATAGTACAATATATGACCTTTTGTGCCTGGCTTCTTTCACTTAGTATATCTTCAGGGTTTATCCAAGCTATAGGATGTATCAATAATTATTATTTTTTTAATAACTGAATAATATCCCATTGTATAAATATACCACATTTTGTTTATTAATTTGTAATTTGATGGACGTTTGACTTACTTCCACCTTCGGCTACTGTGACTAATGCTGCTGTGAATATTCATATACAGATTTTTGTGTGGACATGTGTTTTCAAATCTCCTGGTATATATCTAGATGGAGTGGGTGGGTCATATGGTAACTCTTGGTTTAACTTTTTGAAGAACTTCCAACTGTTTTCCAAAATGACCATACTATTCTACATTCCCACCAGCAACGGTGGGAAGGTTTGTTTCTCCGCATCCTGGAAAACACTTGTCATTTTCCATTTTAATTTTTTTAAACATTTATTTATTATCGAGAGACAGAGAGACACAGAGAGTGATCAGGGGAGGGCCAGAGAGAGGGGGAGACACAGAATCTGAAGCAGGCTCCAGTCTCTGAGCTGTCAGCACAGAGCGCGACGCAAGGCTTGAACCCACAAACCACAAGATCATGACCTGAGCCGAAGTCGGAGGCTTAACTGAGCCACCCAGGTGCCCCTATCATTTTCCATTTTAAAAATTATAGTTATTATGGTGCATGTGAAGCAGTTTTGATGTGCACTTGCCTGATGAGTTACAATTTTTGAGCATTTTTTCATATGCTTCTTGTCCATTTGTTTATTTTCTTTGGAGAAATGACCATTTAAATCTTTTGCTCATTTTAAATTTTTAAATTTTAAAAATTTATTAGTTTTTTAGAGAGAGAAAGTATGACTGAGCGTTGAGGAGGGGCAGGGGGACAGAGGGAGAGG